ATATATATATATATATAAATTTAAAATAGTTGAAAATTATTAAAATAATATGATTAGATATTATTTAGATCTATTTAATCTACTAAAATGTTATATAAAAATAAATTAAAAATATTAAAATTATCTAATAATGTAGTTAAAAATTGTATTGGATATTTAGAATATTATAGTTGACATTTCTAAATCTAAACGAATGTTCGTGAGCCACGAAACGTCGCACCTATATGTTTGGTCATCTTTTTTCTCATTGCATTGAATTTTTTTTTTTTTTTGTTACAATGTCCATTTCAACTAAAACATCATATTTTTGTTTTATTTATTTATTTATTATTTTTTTTAATGTTAGTAGGTTTTTGACCTTGTCCTTGAAATTATTAATATAAATCACCGTTTATTAACTTTGTTATCCTTTTACCTACCAGTATTAAAGTTTAGATAAAAGTTTGCTCTTATAAAATTATTTTTAAGATAAAAGTGTCCAAATATGAATTAGTTAAATTAAATACATTTTTAACTAAATTAAATTTAAAAATTTAAGCTTAAATCAATTTAATTTTTTTTTTGTTAAAAAAATGCATCTATTTAGAAACAAATAAATTAGCTAAAAGGGAAATAGAAAAATGCGAGTCTCACAATTTTTATTCTTTTTAAGTCAGGGAAAAAAACTACATATAACACGGGCAAGAAGAAAAATAACTAGTTAAAGCTAAATTATTATCGATCATGAAACTTCTTTTCTCTGAAAAAAAATATTTTTTAATCGATTAAATATAAAAAAATCAACTGTTATTTTTATTTAATCTATTAAAGCAAAATTTTAATCAAATGTTTAATTTAAAAACTAGTTCCAATAACTTTTTTTTCTATTTTTCTTAAATCAAGTAATTTTATTTTCATTCCATCTTTCTTTTTTATTTTTTCTATTTTATTTTTCATTTATTTCTTTCTTATTATGCTGAACTTAAGCAGAAAACTTTGCAAAAGTGGTGCATTATTGGTCAATGGTCATACATGCAATGTCACTAGTCATTGAAATACATTATTGTTTTAGAAGTAAGGTTGTTTTCGAGATTTGATTTTTTCTTTCTTTTCTATGATACTTTGTTCTTCAAAGTATATGTTGTGCTTGTAGCTGCCGTGAAAGGATGTGCTACATAATGCAGAAGTGTAGTGTTCAAACACCCCACTGATGTTTCATCACAATTATAAATAAATAACTAAATTACATTTTTTAATCTTTTTATAATATTTAATTCATAATTTTAATCTCTTCAATATAAAGCTTTAATTTTAGTATTTTAATTTTATAATATCTGTAACTTTCCAAACATTAAATATTTATTTATTAATTATTAAAATTATAATATTGACAATAATTTAATATTAACTAAATGATATAATAATAAATATTTAATATATTTTTTTTTCTCATTATCAAAAAAGATTTTTCTCGAATGCATGAACAATCTTTCTTAAAAATTTGACAAATATTAAATAATAATAATATGTATATTAATTTTTTATTTTTAAATTAATTTTATCTATTTTTATCACTTTTATAAGATAAAATAAAAATTAAAAATATTATTAATATTAATTATCATGTTATTTTATATTAATTTATAATTAATTTTTTAATTTTGATGATTAGTAAATGAATATTAAAGTTATAAATTTTATAAAATTAAGAAATTAATTTTTTTTTGAAAATACTAAAATTAAAGTTTTAAAAACTATATAACTAATATTACAGATTAAATATTATAATATAAAAAAATCAATTTAGTCTTGAATTAATGTTTCCTCTGTGGGTGTGGCTTACCTCATATATAAGGTGTAAGTGCAGGTAATACATAGTGACGGATCTGAAATATTTTTATTGAGAAAAAATAGTTTAAAATATTTATATATAAGGAAAATATAATAAATTTTTATAAAATTCATATTTTTATGACAAAAGAATTTAAAATATCTTTGTTTTTAATAAATTAGGATTGTTTAGTGACAAGACCGACAATTTCCCTTCTTCTCTTTTTCTTTGTTTGAGATTGTAATGAAATTTGTACTTATAATTTTGTATAACTTGTTTAATAATAAAGAAGTGAAATGAAACTATTTAGATTGACTTAATGATTGAAATAGTATTTACTAGATCTTAAGTTTGAATCTTTTTATTGTTGTCATTGTAATTTTTATAGATGAAAAGAAAAAAATGATAAAAATAAAAATAAAAAAAGTAGAAGGTTAAAAGTAATAAAATCAGTATTATTTTTTTCCTTTTATCATTTAAAATAAATTATTTTACGAGAAAATACCTAATTTTTGTGGGGGCATAACGAAAATAGACCAAACCATGAACAAACCAGAAAGTGTTTTGCATGAACAAATCAGTACAACACAACATTGATTTAGAAACATTGAAGAAGTGAAAGATTCGAGTGTCGCTGTGAATTCCTCATCTCCAATTTCCTTCCAATTCTCCAATTTCGCCTTTCGCTTTCGCTCCGATCCCGAGGAACAGGGTTTTCACTTTTCACTGTTCCATTCAGTTTCTGAGCTCAACTCGCTTCCGATTCGCCGCGCGCCAAAACGATTCGTTTTTGGACTTTAGCGTCGCGTCCTATTCCGAGAAATTATATAATAAAAGATGAGACGATTGAAGAATGACATTAATGAAGATGAGGTGCTTCCCAATGATCAGACTGGGGCACAGCTGAATGGGGCACAGCTGAATGATGAGGGTTCTGAAGGAAGTGCTGGCGTTGTTCTGAAGAAAGGACCATGGACATCAACTGAAGATGATATTTTGGTGGATTATGTCAAGAAGCATGGGGAGGGGAACTGGAATGCTGTTCAGAAGCACACAGGGCTATTACGTTGTGGAAAAAGTTGTCGGCTGCGATGGGCTAATCATCTTAGGCCAAATTTGAAGAAAGGTGCATTTACTGCAGAAGAGGAGCGGTTGATTGCTGAACTTCATGCCAAAATGGGAAACAAATGGGCACGCATGGCAGCACATTTGCCTGGTCGTACAGATAATGAGATAAAAAACTACTGGAACACCCGGATCAAGAGGCGTCAACGGGCTGGATTGCCACTTTATCCACCAGAAGTGTGTTTACAAGCTTTACAAGAGAGTCAACATAGCCAAAGCTCTGGTGGACTTAATGGGGACAATAAAATGCATCCTGATTTCTTGCAGAAAAACAGTTATGAGATACAAGATTCTATATTTGACAGTCTGAAGGATAATCAGGGAATCATACCTTATATGCCTGAGCTTTCTGATATTTCTGTCTATGGCAATATGCTGAAAGGTTTTGATTCTTCTCAGTATTGTAGTTTTGTGCCACCAACATCACCTAAGCATAAGCGTCTTAGAGAGTCAACAATACCATTTATTGATTCCAGTGATATGAGCAGAAATGGTTTATATCCATTTGATCAAATTCGGGATAATAATTCTGATGAGATAGCACAATCATTTGGAATGCCAGCACCCCTTGATCCTGGTCCCTCCTCGCACAGCTCAATTTGTTACAGCCATTCACTTTCAAATGGCAATTCCTCTACTTCTAAGCCAACTTATGAGGCTGTGAAGTTGGAGCTCCCTTCACTCCAATATCCAGAACTTGATTTAGGTAGCTGGGGTACATCTCCCCCACCTTCTTTGCTCGAGTCAGTTGATGATTTCATTCAGTCTCCTACACCAATTAGTACTCTGGAGTCAGATTGTTCTTCTCCACAAAATAGTGGCCTTCTGGATGCTTTACTTTATCAAGCAAGGACTCTGAGCAGTTCAAAGAACCATTGTTCTGACAAGAGTTCAAATTCTTCTACTGCAACCCCTGGTGACAGAGCAGACAGCTCTGCTTTGAATGTGCACGAGACAGAATGGGAAGACTATGCTGATCCGGTATCCCCATTTGGTGCAACTTCAATATTGAACGAGTGCCCTGCTCTTAATGCAAATGCAAATTCATTGGACAAACAGCTACCCGTTCAGACCTTTAATGGTTAGTAATTTTCAATGTGCGGCATGGAAGATGATATTGGAAATATTTCACATCTATACATGTGCACATACTTCTTTAGCTCATTCTGAAACTTCTTAATTATTTTGCATATTTCATGGTATATTAGGGTCCCTGAAAACTTGTTAATACTTATTTTATACGATAGAGTTTGCAAATCACTTCACTACAAATTTATTTGTCAGTTTTAATGAAAATGCATGTGTTGGTTTTCTCTTTAATTCCTGTGTTAACTTTGTTAGTTACTAATGATCTATATTTATTCTTTATAAAGTCCCCCCTAATTCCTTAATTCACGTGCAGGCGACATTCTGAAATTAGAGTCTGTTGACGAGGTTTGGACTCCTAATGGTGAAAATCAAACACTGTCCCTGTTGAATATTACACGTCCAGACTTCTTGCTTGCTTCAGATTGGCATGACCTGAGTTCTGGGCATGGCAAGAACCTAGCCTTCACAACGGATGCTACGACGACCCTTGGCCTTGGAGATGATTTAGCCACTGATCATAAGCATGTGACTGCTGGAACTTCCAAGTCAAGTCAAATGTGGGGGTTTGGTTCTTGTGCAACTGCAATGATTGGTTAAGAAAACTTAAATGAGATATGAGATTTGAAACCCTTCTACTAGTTGATTTGTGTTGACATGGTATCAGAGCCATTTAGATCCACTTTAAAAATGGGCCACCCACCATTGATGCATGCCTCATAGGTATGAGGGGGTGTATTGGGAAAAACCCAAGTCCCGCCTATCCTAGATCATTAAAAAAAAGGCCACCCACCATTTATCCACGTACCAAGCCCAATAGTGCTGGACGTGAGGGGGTGTATTGGGAAAAACCCAAGTCCCACATCGACTAGAGATTAGGCAATTGAATAATATATAAGTGGAAAGCAACCCTTACCTTATAAGCCGGTTTTGTAGGGTTGAGTTAGGCTTAATCCACTATTCTAACATTTGTACAAAAGACATGCCATCAAGTTTGGCAATGAAGTATTGATACATGTGATCGAATAAGGCCGAAACAGGGGAGGATGTGATGTACCAGGGGAAGGAGCTGTCAAAAAATTGCTTGGACAGGGAATCTACAATGTTTGTCTTTCCAAGTTTGTAAAAAATATCCAAGTTATAACCTTGTAATTTTCATGTCCATTTCTACTACTTCGGTGTTTCAATTGTTTGCTTGATGAAATTACTCAAACTCTTCTAATATGTTTGGATTTGAAAATGACTTCCTATTAGATACTGATGTCCTTTTTTGATGACCTCTATTATGGCATACAATTCTCTAATTTAGGTGGAAAAAACTTGAAGCAATCAGATGACCCTTATAAGCCGGTTTTGTAGGGTTGAGTTAGGCTTAATCCACTATTCTAACATTTGTACAAAAGACATGCCATCAAGTTTGGCAATGAAGTATTGATACATGTGATCGAATAAGGCCGAAACAGGGGAGGATGTGATGTACCAGGGGAAGGAGCTGTCAAAAAATTGCTTGGACAGGGAATCTACAATGTTTGTCTTTCCAAGTTTGTAAAAAATATCCAAGTTATAACCTTGTAATTTTCATGTCCATTTCTACTACTTCGGTGTTTCAATTGTTTGCTTGATGAAATTACTCAAACTCTTCTAATATGTTTGGATTTGAAAATGACTTCCTATTAGATACTGATGTCCTTTTTTGATGACCTCTATTATGGCATACAATTCTCTAATTTAGGTGGAAAAAACTTGAAGCAATCAGATGACCCTTATGAGGGAGCACCACGCCAATTGCTAAACCCAAAGCATCAATTCCGACCACAAAACATCAATAAAGTCTAAGAGCTGAAGAATAAAGGCTGCAGAAAGTTTGGAATTTAAATTTGTAAACACAATGTCTAGCTCTATAGTCCGTAGGAATTGTTGTAAAGTGAGAAAATCAGTAAGAGGAGAGGCAATTGTGGCATATTGACAGATGAACTTGCAGTAAAAACCAGTGAGGCCTAAAAAACCATAGAGTGTCGTGTGAAAATGTGGATGAGAAACACTTAGAGAATTTAGCAAAACATTGGTTAGCAAGAAGTAAATCAAAAATCAATTTCAAATGTTGCAAATGTTTAGAATAAGTAGGACTAAAAATTAGGATATAAAAAAAACCAACACAAACTTTCATAATATATGACCTTAATAAATTGTTCATAGCCGATTAGAAAGTAGAAGGGGCATTAGTCGGTCCAAACAAGACTAAAAACTTAGTGCCCATTACAAGTGCGAAAAGCAATTTTATGAGTATCCTTGGGCATAACACAAATCTAGTGGTAACCAGAATGTAAATCTAATTTAGAAAAAAAATTAGCAATCCCTAGTTCATCTAGTAATTCATCCATAGTAGGTATAAGGAAGCGATTCTTCATAATGACAAAGTTTAGTGTTCTATATTCCACACAAAGGTGTCATGAGCCATCTTTCTTATGGACTAAAAGTACCATAGAGGAAAAAGAGTTATGACTCGAAACAATAAGGCCTTGGTGTCTTTGAACTTGGATTCAAATAATTTAGCAAGACCAATTGTCTGGGAAATGGAATATGGGTGGATAATAAGGAGCTAATGTCTTAATTCAGGTTTTAAACTAGATGATAAAATAACTTAAAAGATTATCACTAAATAAACCATAAACTTTATTTGAAAGTTGTGGACAAAAGATAAATATTAGAAGGGGGATTAAATAGTGTGTATAAAAAACTTGCATGTGTTTTTTGTAGTGAAGTAGTAACGCTAGTCAAATGAAGTGTGAAGAACAATCAAATGAAACATTGGATATTTTTATACTGGTTCACCTTAATCACCAGGACTATGTCCAATTCTCAATCTAACCAGATTGAGTTTTACTATCTTTAAATAAAGATACAAGTATTCTTTCAACGAATCACTTTTGGCCCAATTATGAGTATTCTTTGACTTGCCTCTTCGAGCAACTATCCAAGTATTTTTTTCACAACAAGTCTCTTTAGGCTTAACAACTAAGTATTCTTTGGTAGTCAACCCTCTTTAGGCTTCAAACAAGTATACTTTTACATACAAGCCTATCTAGGCTCAACCTTATAACAATGGTTATGAAAGTTACACAAATGTTGTGTTCATCTCACTTAGACATTATACAACCAGTATAGAGTAGTAAACTTTTTACAAGAAAGAATAAAACTCATACAAGTATGATTTTCAAAGTATGTTTCTGTATAAGTTTTTTCTTCGTATCAGTTATATTTTTTCTTAAGTTTTGAATCTTTTTATATAATAGCTCGAAGAAGATGACTGTTGCAAAACTTTGAGTCCAACTCACAAGTTTTCTTTGTTTGTCTTTATCATCTTTCTTAAGCTTTGAATCTTTTTATATAATAACTCGAAGAAGATGATTGTTGCAAAACTTTGAATCCAACTCACAAGTTTGCTTCGTTTGTCTTTATCGTATTTCCTTGTGATGACAGGTAACCGTTTAACCCATTTAATACAAGCTTTAAATGCATTTAATCAAATGGTACCTCTTATTTGATCAAGGAGACTACTTATCAAATTTTCACACTAAATGGAGCTTGTAGAAGCAATTTCCATGCAGAAGCAATGTCCATGCAGAGTAGCTGTAGTAGTGACTTTATCTATTTTTCTCCAGCCATGATTTTAGGGATCTTGATTTTGACGGAAAGCATATTTTTTTCTTTAATAGATTTATGAGTTCCAAGATGACTTTCTTATTCGATTTATTAAGGAATGAAACATTCAATACAAACTTTTTCATTAGTCTCAATAAATAATAAACATCTAATGTATATGAAATATACTGTATGTTTCGTCTAATTTACATCGTCATACAAACGATCTACGTCTTACACGTCGTCTGATAAACATTCAAAGATATTTTCAAAGGCATTTTTTTAGGACATTTTCTCTTATAAAAGTGTTTCGTTTGTTAGCATTAAAACTCTAAAGCTTAAGGGATCCAAGATCATCTTTTGACGTAAATATTGACCCATATTACTAAAGTTTATAGAGCTACTGTTGGTGGTTTTCATAAGTAGAAGGACCAAAATGTAGTTTAAGTGTTCTAGCAAAAGAAAGCCAATTTGTGAGTTATTAAATTTGGTACATCCATTTGTACCAACTAAGAGTCTCCCCTTTCGTGTAAAAAACAACGATGTGAAGGTAGTGTTCAATGGGGATGTGATAAAGTAAGAAAAATTGTTTGGCTTGGAATAACCAATCCAAAGGATCTGTGCCTTGAAAGGTGGTGAGTTGAAGCTTAGGTGGATGAATGGAAGGAAGGTTAGGTTGTATCGAATTGGTTAAGGTTTAGGATGGAAAAGGTAAAGATATGTGGGGAAGATGAGGAAGTTGAGATAATATGGGTGGCATACCAAGTGGGGAAATAGTACAATGGGATATAGGGAGCTAATAGTGGTGTTGTGTTGACATATTGGGTGTAAATGTCATTGGCATACCAAATGGATAACTAGGGCAAGGGATTAACTGGATAGGGGAACTTCATTGGGAAGGAGAAATTGTTGGGGGCATGTGGGAGAAAGTTGATAAAGGGTTTGCCCTAAAAGAAATGGATGAAGATGAAGGGATAACGATGGGGAAATAAGGTGTAATGGTGGGGTAAAACTATGGGGTGGAGTAAAACCATGGGCTAAAGGTAGGGTAAGCGGTGAAGGGGGGCTGGAGGGTTTAGTCGTCATGGCATTCAACTTATCCATCACAATGTCTAGAGAAATTTGCAAGGTGGATTGTCAAAATTCTTGCAACTGGTATTGGGTTTCAAAGTATGTTTTCATGGCCCAAAATTTTTCTTAGAGATTGTGAATGGTATCATTAACCTCCTTAAAAGGTTTTGGAGGCATGGGATCAAGAATAAAAGCACGAGTTTATAAAAGTTTACTAGAGAATTAGGGTTACTATTGCAAAAAATTATAAAACTGAAAAAAAAAAAGTACTTCATTCATAACTTCAGCTAGATGAGAAAACAACTTAAGTAACCATAACAAAAGAAATTGGCCTCATGAAATTACTAGGTCTATTCACGGAAATAACTAAGATATAACAAAGCTGATCGAACAAAAGCATAAACATAATCTTTTAACTAGTATGGTCTGGATGATAAACGTTTGAGCCTACTATATACCATTGTAGGGAAGACTCTATGTCTCTTATATCCCTCTGCTACAACTCTCAAGCTACAATTGTGTAGTCAACAATGGTTTTTATAGTAGTAAAAGAAGGCATACACATAAGACACAATGTTGATAGTCACTTGATAAAAAATGGTGTTATCTTACTTGAGTGTGTGAAAAGTGACAAAAATCTTGCACATCATTTTACAATTGGATTTCAAGAAAGTTATTCCAAATGTGTCAAAGATGATGGACTTAAATCCTTTTAGAAGAGAAAAAATAATGTAGATATCCATTTAATGGTCAAACAAAGTCGTATAAATACTCTTATGAACTACATTTCTCATCCCTAAGGAGTGTAGTTGCACTTAATGTGAAGTTGAGATATGTTTTGTGCACGTGTTTGGAATCTTTTGTGAAAAGTCAAGCCAATCGGAGAAAAAAAATTTCTCCATTTCATTTATATCAACAAAAATAAAGTGATTGAAGAAATGGAAGAAAAGAGAAATAGAAAATATCTTAACT